AAATGTCATAACTCCGACAGAATGCCGGAGACATCTTAGTCTTCTGGAAGTAATATTACAGATGTATGACATTTTACTCCTCTGGAACAACGTATGAGTGGTGTCACAGCGTCTTATTACGACGTGACGTCACTCATGCGTAATGCTATTCATGGAGGTGACAGTTACCATCAGGCGGGTCGTCAGCTTGTTTCCTACATATTTATAAAATAATTTAAAGAGTTACTATTTAAGACCATTAACAGTATTATACCATAACCGAATATTTAAATGACATACATTATTTTTATGTAATATATGTACGTCATGATATGAATGAATAATATTAAATTTTATTATATATAAAATTATCGTGTCACAATGTTAGTCACGATACTCCTCCGAAACGGTTTGACTGATTTTTATGAAATTTTATATGCATATTCAGTAGGTCTGAGAATAGGCTACTATCTATTTTTCATACCCCTAAGTGATAAGGGTTGTCTAGCCCTAACATTTATTTTTTATTAATTGTAAAAAAAAATACAATTCGGTATTAAAAAATATATACAACCCTAAATTTTCACCCTTCTATCACCTACCTCTATTAGTTATTAGCGATTTTAATTAGGCTCTAACAGGGTCCATATTGATCTAAATATACTAATTATAAACTTTCACTGTAAACATGAGACTGAGTATTGAGTACTACAATTACATAAAAAAAGATGACAACTAGTATTTTTTAATCCGAATGATATATCACTCACTCACAACCGTACAAAACCTGGATACAACAATTTGGTCGATAGGCTTACGTTTTGCTGCACTCACATTATCCCTAGAGGACTATAATCTGACCAAAACCCTCAGATTGCTGACTGTAGTTGGCCAAACAATAAATCTTTGTGGGGATAATCCGGTATCGCGCTGAGTCGTGCTCCGACTTTGTCCGGCTCGGATATGACGTGTCTTCTTTGTTGCTATGTATATATGTTTCTAGTAAACCTATACCAATATTATGGCATCGTTGGTCTAGTGGTTGAGCACACCGCTTTACTTACGATGGTCGCGGGTTCGATTCCTCGCACGGTACAAACATTTGTATTTATGTGCGTGTATTTTTGCATTGGTCTGCGTTTTTTCTATGTATATTATATATCTATAAAAAACCGTTAGCGCAGGCGGGTGCAGCATTCCATTATATATCGTAGGCAAAAAGCGTAGTATGAAATGAATGAATATTTGAAACCAGTGTGTAGGTATATCCCTAATAACGGACAGGACGTGACAAATGGGCTTGACCGTCGGTGACCGTCGCGTGACCGTCGCGTGGTAGCATCCGGCGCGCGCTATCACCGTAACGCAGCCGCACCGGAAGCGGAATACGCATCCGATATCTATACTTTCAATAGATTTATCGATTTCATCGGATGTTTGTATCGAGATGTATGTTTGAACATTGACCTCTCAGTAAAATTGAACGCAACGTTTATTTATAATGTTAGATTTTTTAATCCTGGACTATTCCCACGGCGCCATCCAGTCCCAACTTACGATGAGCTTGTGTTATGGGTACTAGCTAACTGATACAAATACTTAAATTTGTTGTTGTAAATATATAAATAATATACATAGAATGGACCCAGGAACAATACAAGCAGTTATACTCATGAATACAAATGTTTGTACCATGAGAAATCGATCCCACGACCATTGGAAGTAAAGCTATACCGCTATGCTATGCTATATAAGTATGCTAAACCGCTAGACTAGTGAGGGTGTCATATATCCGAAATAAATAATGAAACAATATTAGACAATATGTCGTCATGTACGCTTTTCTTTCTAAAGAAAGACAGAAAAAAATTAAATTCCTGCGTTTCTTCTTTGTTTCTCTGGGACTATCAACATGTTTACCTTTCCAATTCCATAATTTCATAATGAACCATCGTTTACGTGAGGACAGTATTAACACCTATTTCAACTGTCATGGCCTGAAAACATCTTCTTTACGTTGACTAGGGTGACTGTCTGACACGTGGATAAGGGCTATTGTCGCTTCTGTGGGTAAGCAGTATTGCGAGTCTTTAGACAAGGGTTTCATTGGGAACATAGTGCGAAGTTTTGAGCAAAGAAAATAAAGATAAGTTTACAATCGAACACTTCGTTATTAAAAGTGCATATTTCATAATCTTCTGAATTAAAAATTTTAAAATCCAGTTATTTTATAACACAATATATTAGTGGTTATTACTATGGGAAATATCCTATTATACACTGAAAACATATTTACACTAATTTGTACGCTGAGCTGTTTTTGAAAAAAAGAAAAATATTTTTCAGTGCTTTTCAGTTACAATAGAAACAAAAAGAAGCAAAGTTGTAATAAAAAATAAACAGTATTTACATTTACCATAGCAATCAGTTATAATAAAAAATAAACAGTTTTAAAATGGTGACTACAAAATTTTGAAAAGTAGTGACTAATTACTAAAATAGGTTAGTAGTAGCTATTTATTATCCAAAATTTCGTGAATATAACCCAAATGTCAATATCATTCATTCAAATAAACTTAAATTTAAGCACTTTTGAATAGTCATATTTCTTTTTTTTAATCAACCGCTCACTCGGAAATTTGTTTCATCACAAGAAGAATGATAAAAAAAATTTAGTGTTGCCCTTCTATATAATTGTTGTAACTTTACATTTTTTGAAGTTGGAATGTGTGAATTCATACAAACCAAATAAAGGTTGGTTATCTTTTGAATAACTCGGCTAATGTAGTTGATAATTTTTTTTTTGTTTTGTAATTAATCAAAAGATTTGCATAGGTTAGTTGGTGGTTAGTAGGTCTAAAGTCTAATAATAACCTGTCTGTTTTGTTCCTTTAATGTCAATAACAATGAATCTGTTTACGCAAGCGAAAGTTATATTCCCATTACGTTATTTTAGCATTAAAAAGAAAGTAGTTACAAACATTTCCCTTTGGTGCCGTATGCCAATAATAATTTAAACAAATCATGTCAAAAGACAAACAAGAAAGTAAAGAAATATCATTTAGACCGTTGAAAAGATAACATCCGTTTCCTCATTGTGATTCACAATCGAATTTAAATTCTCCACTTTTGTGCCCTGTCCCTTGTTTGCTGTACAAAGGAGGCATTATTTTTTATTATTATTTCTTTTATTTTATTGTCCGTCACAATGGCGGACAGACGGAAAATTCAACGGAAGTTCCGCTGTTATAGCGCCAAAGAATAATTGTGGTTGATTCTGTTTTGTGGACTCTGTTTGCTTTTGTTTGCCACGCGTCTTGTTGGTTTCATTTTATGTGGTTTAGAATCAGTTACGGAATTATTTACAAGTTATAATGAGTTAAACTATTCACTAGCAAAACCTACTCACTAAACGATTTACCTTTTACTTGAATGACGACCGTGCATGGCAATAGTTGTTCATGCACGACATTTTTTTGATTTTTCATTTAATGTTAAACATAGACACATATATAAATAAACAATGTAAATAAAAAGAAATTCAATTGAGTTTTATGCCAATTTTTCTGGATCTGTATACTACTGGACGGTAGGGAAAAATGACGTTCATAAGGAACAAAAATGACCTAAACGTATAATAGTAATAAACATAATAAATAGTATGGAAATAATTTTCATTCATTATTTTTTTGTAATAAATTCGAATGTTGGAATAATTTCAACAATTTTACCATATCACACTTACTTACACTAGAATGGTAAAGCATAATACGTACGATGTAAGTCACATGGCATCGTGATGTCTGTTGTGCTATTCAGGTATATATGTGACAGTTGCCACTTACACACATGTTACATAACACATTTTATAAAACATGTGATTTTTATAATTTATAAAACTTATTACTGAGATTTTATGAGTCATTCCATAGTGATCAAGTGAAATATAAATGTAGAACTTAAGTTTAAGTGTGTGTTTAAATGTCCATTAAACATAAAATACCTATCTTACTAATAAAATGATATTGTTAAAATATGTGTAGGTACTAATAATAATACACTTAATTTTTTTCCACATAAAAAAATTGTATGTTGTTAATAGGTCAATAGTTTTGTCGATAAAAGTTATCGATATATTTAACAGATTATTACTGAATACAGAAATTATTCTAAGATCATATTTTGCAAAAATCTACTGCTTATATTTCTGTTACAGTAATTTCCGTGAGGTAATTTTTCTCATGCTTTTTTCTATTAAACTTGCTTGAATCGCAACAAACCGGGACAGTCACATGTTGACATGTGTATGTCACATATTCATGTGTATAGGCAACTATTACCAATTACCATAAGATGGGTCGTCAGATTGTTACCAATTATAGTTATATAAAATAATCTCTCTTAAAATAGGTACACAGATATAATTTCTTATTCCATTTTATATCATACTTGGGGAAAATGAATAAGTACTCATTATGTACATTATTATATTATTAAATAAATATTTTTTACATATATTTCATATTACATTTCTCTCGTAATTACTGAAATGAGTATTGACTCATTAATTGAAGAAACGTTGAATTAAAACCAACCTAAATAAGTACTTTTTTCACAAGTACTACCTTTACATAACATATGTGGAGTTTTCTAATTGATCAAAAATATTTTAGTTTTGATCATCGACAATCGATACCTATGTGGTACGGTCGGAAGCGTGTCGTGGTACTTAGGTAATAGTAATGAATGTATTCAGTCCTACATGAAAAATGGCATAACACGCCACGCGATTGTACTCAGTAAATTGCTTATTTATAAACAAGAGATAGTATTATGACATCGCTACCTTGTAAATAAAGATGAGTCACCTTCACCGACCTCCCTATGTCATGATATCATTGACCTTGGTCGCCACTTCTCCAGTCCCAGTTGGGTGCGCTCCGAGCGTGCGCTGCGTCCGTCCGTCAGTGAATTGACTGCTCACAACGCGGACCTCTACAATTGTGTATTTACTCAAAATAACTCGCTTCCATAACATCTATTAGTGTCAAGTTACAAATAAGTGATATATACGCCTAAAATTTTGTGGATTTCAAGACAAAACACGTAAGAAAACAGTAGATTTCCTGCTTCGCACTGCCGCATTTTGTTTTCTCGAGTCTCAATGCGCATGTCTTGTGACGTATAAGCCGAATGAATTGAGTCGCTTGTGCAGTAGTCCAGTTGAAAATGTCTATGGTGTCTAGTGTATTTTGTCGGGTTACGTATGAAAGTGATCAAGACATTATGAAATTATTGTACCGTGTCTATATACATCGTGTTATGGTTGGAATTTGTTTAGCAAATATAGCATTGGTCAGGTATTGTCGTTGCATTGATTGAGAATTAAAACATTCAGTGTTTAATTTGCGTCCTGTTATGTTACCGGACGTGGAAATCTTGGTACATAAATATGTTATACACAGCTAACTTTCATTAAATCACTGTCACTTGTATGAAAACAGGATTAAAAAAGTTATACCTGATATTAATACAATATAAATGAATAGGAATATAAAGAAAAATGGGTTTTTTTTTTGATTGAGCATATTTTTTTAACTCTTAGCTTCTGCGTTTGCGCTTTCGGGTTACGCTCGCATTAGCAGAGAATGTGAAATGTTTTATTTTAAGACGAGTGATTGGATTTGCGATGTTTTTATTTTTTAGATGATTATATATTAGGAGATGGATTATTTACACCGTAGAGAAATGGGTTGATTTGATGATAATTTTGAAATATTTACAATAGTTAATAACCGTTTTTGGATGCATGTGAGAAGGTACGAGAACACCTATGCTTAGATATTTAATGAATGCAATAATTTTACTAATCGTTGTAGGTACCTACTGTATTTTATGATAGTGTGGACTATGACACTATGGACTATGATAAAGACATTTTTTTCTTGTGCCGTTGTTTGTATGTGTGAACATTAGCTTCAATAATTTATATTCTCTCATATGATACAGATGTTATTCGGTACTTTGTCACATGTAAATCTATAGATACATTCGTACATTACCTACTTTGAAAAGATAACCTCGGTCCATGAATTAGTGGAATCTTGCATTTCGAATGTGGAGTAGAATAATAAAGAAAAATTTCTTACTTTTTTTTATTATTGTATATTATTATTATATCATTGAATACAACAAAAATAATATTTTTACTCATACAAATCAATTTATATGAAGAAAAAATTCTATTAGAAAGAAATTTTTTTACTTCTATTCAATTACTCATCCAATTTCAGTTGATCTTGTAGATATATGTATATTGTCCATTAATTTTTTTATATATATTAGCAAACTAATTGACGGCCCACCTAATGGTTAACAGTAACAGTCGTCTAGGTATATACGTAAACAACACTACGTACATCTTATTATTATGTGACACTCGTGACACTTCAGAGGACTAAGATTTCGTGCCTCTTAAGGGGGTCTTCCTATGTGATGGGTTGAAAAAATCGATTTTTTTTTTTTTCATAAATTGCTCCCTTAACATGTCTAGAATACGGTAGTAAAGCGATTTTAGAAAATTCGAAGTCGTTTTAAAGATACAGCAGGTAAAAGAAAGAGCGGTTCGGAGCGGTGAGTTGGCAGTTAGAGACCGGGCCTATTGTGTACCGTCGGCTTTATACCTGGCCTCCCTTTTATTAATATATTTGTTTATACAAGTTTAGACACGTTTCTACAGACTTAAACAGAAAAGGAGCAGGTAAACTTACTGATAAAGTTATCCAATAAATTACAAAATTTTACGGATTAGCAATTCGACGCCATCCAGATTCGCTTGAAGATATGAGAAAGGAAGTTTGGGCAACGTACAAATGTTCTTCTGATGAAAACCCTCAGCATCAATTTTGTTCAGAAGGCGAAGACAGTTGGTGTAAATGGCGTAAGGCTGAAGCTAATAATGAACTAGACCAATTTCATCACGATAAACCACCTCTAATTCCGCAAGTCCAAGAAGCTATCAAACCGGTTTTCGAAGATTTATCGAAAGACGAATTATTAATTCGTTGTTTAGGAGCAGAGACACAAAACAATAACGAATCTTTGAATTCTTTGATTTGGACTTTCGCTCCTAAACATCTTCATTCTGGTCCCAAAGTTGTTGAAATTGCTAGCTACTTAGCAGTTATTATCTTTAATGAAGGTTTTCAAGGTATTTTAAAAGTTATGTCGATTATGGGATGCCCTGTTGGTCGTGAAGCCCAAGCGTATGTTGAGAAACGGGATGAAAAGCGAATCTTACGCTCTGAGCGGCGCGTAAGTGATGTCGTTAAACAAGCCAGGATTGACTCAAGAGCTGAACAATCTGCTTTAAAAGAGTTTCACGAGGAAGAGGAAGGAATACTCTATGGACCAGGCATCGCCGATTGAGAGTAAGTTGATATTTTAATAGTTTTTAACGGACTTGAAACTTTAAACGCGTTTTTCTCAAAACTGTGTTTTTCAAACTTTCCTCCATTGTATCTCAGAAACGGCTGGACCGAATTAATGAAATGAAATTTACAGGGCACACTCAATATATGTAAACGCATGGAATGAACTATTATCAATCGAAAATTTTCAAAACTTCGATTTTTTTATAGCAAAAAACAAAAAAAAAAAAAGCCTAATTTGCAACTTTTATTTCAAATGCCTATCAAAAATCCATTTTTTTTATATTCATTTGATTATAGGTCATTCCGTGCTTTTAAGCCTACAAATTAAAACGCCGTTTTTTTTTTTTTTTTTCAGATAAGCCGATCAGCCGGAATCGTGGAGGAAGTGGGAGCTCTTTTTTTTTTCGAGGCGGGGGTGTTCAGAGCGCTGTAACTCTAGTTTGACTGAATATTTTTAGCTGAAATTTTATATTTATACTGTCCAAATATGTGTTAATAAATGATAAAAAACTTGAAGCTCTAAATATTTACTGGTCGTAGAAAAAATAATCCTAAAATATCCCTAAAAAACAGGCCGTCACATAGGAAGACCCCCTTAATCACTAATTTAATGTAACTACTGTTGGAATCTTGTAATAATCACAATTTTTTGGGTCCATCTAAAGATTTAAGTCCACTATACTAATTCCATGTAGTACAACTACATGGGATTAGTGTAGTAAGTATTCAATAGATTGTCACTATCCATGCATTGTCTAATCCTAAATATATGTAGGTATACAGAAAATATTTTATAATTATAAACTTTTTGCACATTATCTAGCAATATATTTTTAGTGTGTCCTTTATTTTGAATACCCTCTTATCTGCGAAGGAGCCAGTTATTGGACACTATAGCCCCATCTGTGAGAAGTCCTGTAATTGGTCTTACAGACCGTTGATTTGACAGCTAAAAATTGAAAGGATATTATTATAATCTGAGGTATATAATTGGAGCAGGTTTGCGTAACAAGGAATAAATTATTTTTTCTGTGAACCAATGTAACAAATTCTGTTATCAGTATAGTATATCCGCAAGAAATTGTTTGCATAAATTCGTTTTATAAATTCGTTCATTAGTCCGTCTCAATCTTGTATTAAAAAACCTAGACCACAGATAACATAATATTACATACCTAGCCGGGCCATAGCCACAAAATTTACTCTAAAATTTAATATTTGTTAAAAATGATGTGTTGTTTACTCCGCTTTATTTACTCAGCTTTAATCTTTTCAGGTACACTCAATAGGAAATTACATTTTGTTGAAGATAAATGCGTGCCGTAGTCAAGCCTTTAAGTGCCCGAGCATGCGGCGACAGAAATGCCTCATCTCATCTCTCCAGCTACTTCTCTCCACATTATACTGAAACATCTGTTTGCCCTCAGATATCTGGTCATTATTAGCTGCATTAGTTTCACCTTCTCAGTTCTCTGGATTGAATCCATTAACAGAAAGAATTTGCCTTCCATCAACGAAAATATTGTTCAAGAGGCCATCGAAAATGTGGCCAGAGATATTAGATACCTCGACGTTTATCGTAGTGTGCAAAATTTACCAAAGCAACTCAAATATATACTTCTATGGACATCAAAAGACTTTTCACCATTCTATTTCTTCGGAAATGGGCAACGGGGCTTCCTCAATAATAACTGCTCGGTGATAAACTGCTATGTTACAGATGATAGGAACTTTTTCAATGGTGATATTACAAAGTTTGATGTGATAGCTTTCAATGGACGCAATATGAAACCGTATAATCTTCCAAGAGTAAGAGCACCACATCAGAAATACATTTACATAAATATGGAGTCCAATGATAACTATCCTGTATGCAGTGAGAAATTTGATAATTTCTTTAATTTGACATCAACTTACAGATTAGATTCCGATATTCCTTATCCGTATATTTTAGTTAGAAATGCTAATGGAGATAAAGTTGGACCGAAGATAGATATGGAATGGGAAAGAGATATGGTAGATGTTGATGAATTGCCTTATACATTACATAATAAGAGCAAAGCTGTAGCTTGGTTCGTATCACATTGCTATAGCAAAAGTGGTAGGAATACATTTGTGAGAAAGTTGCAGAGAGCGTTAGAACCTTACGGTTTGGACGTTGATATATACGGTTCGTGTGGAAGTTTACAATGCCCGAGAGAACGTCAGTCAGAATGTGATATTAAATTAGAGAAGGAATATTATTTTTATTTAACGTTAGAGAATTCGTTTGATAAGGATTACGTTACTGAGAAACTGCTAACTGCCTTGCAACACAACATTGTACCAATCGTGTATGGAGGTGCTAATTATTCCAGGTAAATTGTATTCACAATTATTAAGTTGAGTTAAATATATTATATTATGATATGTACTACACTTAGTAGTATTATTAATTAAATGTGGTATATTATATGATAAAATTTTGCTGAATTACGGAGATTTGAGAATATTACTTTGTACAAAAACTTTCAATTGATTAATAAGGATTTTCTATTTTTATAAATAGGCCAAATGAATTTTATGAAGCAGTAAAATGATCAGATCTAACATCCAACCCGTAAACAGTAAAATTGCATAGCGCAAAATAAAATACTTAATATTAGAATCGATTCCAAATTTTTTATAATTTCCAGGTTTCTTCCACCAGGCTCGTATCTGGATGCTAAGCAGTACACCATTCCACAGCTAGCTGCTACCATGGCACAACTCATCAACTCGCCGAAGCTGTACCGCAGTTATTTCAGGTGGAAGTACTATTATTCGTACCACGACCCACAGGCAGTAGAAAACGTTTGTGATATTTGCGCAGCGTTGAACAACGAAACTCTTATGCAAACACCAAAGGTGTACATTGAATTTAGAACGTGGTGGAATCCAAATTATTCTGAGCGGTGCTATTTTTGGACCGTTCTCGCTGGTAGTATTTGATAAAAATGTATTTAGCAGTTTACGCTTGACGTCATTTTATAACGATACAGTGTTAGTCGTAAAAGATATATTTATATCAAAAACCAGGTAGAAAACTGAATCACTTTTCCAAAGAACCAAAGTGAGATCTGAATAATTTTCCTAAATTGTACACGTTCAAAAAAATATTTTAATTTTTCGGTTTTGTGTAATCTTTATGACTAAACCTGTAGTAGATGTTTAATTTTATTTAGATATTTATTTTAATTGAAAAAGAATGTGTCGTCACTGGTATTCATTATAAGAGATCTTATGCGCCGTTACGTTCAAATAAAGATTCTATTTTGTACTACTAGGGCACATAATTTGGCCCACCGATGAATCTAGCATATGTTAAATTTAAAAGTGTAATTGAATAACGTTATGTTTTTAAGAGCAAATGATTTGTAATGCGTGCGTCGAGACTATTTTTATTTTTAATCCTTATTATTGGACTTCGACAGTCGAACTAAAAATGGTTTGTGAATGTACATTAATATAATTGTTTATTATCTTTATTATAGTTAATCTAATAGAGAGTTTATATAACATATATATTTTATTTTGAGGAAGTTGTTCGTACTTAACAAAATGTATTATTCAATTACGTCATCATGTGTCATGGGATGTCATTTATTTTTATTGAGTCATTATTATTTATAGAAAGAAAACTAAACAAGAGTAGGTAATTAAAAATATAGTAGTTTTATACAGGGTTAGTGGTTTCGGAGAAAAAGGTGATGAGGAAAATTTAAAAAATGTATTTAAAATCTTCATACACACTGCGCGGTCATGTGATTTGTATGAAAAGATAAAATATAATTTATTTTTCCATATTGTTTTTTTGTTCAGTTTGCATCAACTCCAAACTAGGTTATTATGTGTTAGAAATCAAATTAATAGTGCTTGAGGGTACAACCTCAATTTAACTTGAACTGAAACTTACTTTAAATTGTCGTTGATCTACGCACATCAATAACAGTTTAAAGTAAGGTTTCTTTGTAAGTTGGCAATATTGAGAATAGAGTTCAAGATCTCATTTACGCATAGTAAGGAATGTACACGGTTACTACTAACTTTTTGAATGCATAATTAAACATTTGTTTATTGAAACATTAACATTCAAAAAGTTAGTAGGATATAGAATAGCTAAGATGGATTTGTTAGAAAAACAGACCAAATAGAGCAAGAGGTACGTTAATAAAAGGGATAGTTTTTATACTAAAACGCATAATAAGGAATGCCGTGAATTATTCGTAGATAATTCCTATTTATCATCAACATTTTAAATATTATATTTTTATTTAATTTGTTATTCAGTCAGGTTTCAATATTTATTTGGATTGTGTAAGAAAATCTAGAGAAAGAAAGACATTATTACAAAGAGCATTTTACCACAAAGTAAGCATAATATGGAAGTGTAGTTGATAACCGCTAATATTTTAAGTGTTAAAGTATGTATATTTTTTATGTTCGTTCGAACTTATAACAGTACCTATCTGGACAAATAAATCAATAGAAAGAACAATTAGAATGTCCGAATCTTGAAGTTAAAACAGTGACTTGCGCTGTCTATGTAGTTACATTGAATTATCATTATTTAAATGGTTGTTCTTTTAACACGTTAATATAATTTATTGTACATTCTTCAACCCCAGCAAAGTCAATGCATTCGCTGGTAGAATTGTAACTTAACAACGAGCGAGTTGAAGAACAACTCAAATATAAGTTACAAATTCTTTATAGATTTCGAATTTTAATAAAATAATATTTTATATCCTTTTATTACTCGGTATGAGTGAAATTACTGAGCGATAATAAATATCTAGTGACGGTGAAAACTTGTTTTGAAGGCAAAACATAACAAACGATGAAAAAAGTCCTTCGAAGAAAAATAGCATATTTTTTGCTATTTCAAACAAAAATACCTTTACAAGTTTTTTAAACCTTTGAATATACGATTTACAAATTAATTTTACAATAAAATTGTTACCGATGTATTGTTAAAAAATAATGCAATGTTTTATATTTTATATTTGTTATAGAAAACTTTAATAAACAAATAAGCTAATTATTACGCTATATGCATATATTTCAGAAATATTATTAAATATTAATGTAATCGTAAAATTCAAATATAATTAAAGAATACACATTTATTGTGGTTAAAATCATACAATCATAACATGTTTATAATATCTGCTTTGTATTACGTTTTGTGTTCATCGTTTATTCTATACGACAAAACAATTGTTTCTCTTGGTATACTTTGGTTGTCTTATGATTTAGTATAGATATCTACATATATATATCTATAGTTATATTTTCTGAATGCCGTGGGTTCGAAATAAAATGTCACTGAATACCTCTTACAGTGATTAAACGTCAGCTTATCAAGTCCCATCATATTACTGAACTGGTGATATGCAAGAAACCGAGCTAAATTTGCATTTAAACTATGTGTTATGAACTTATGAACTATATAAACATTTGTTACATTTGAATGAAGTCACAATAACTAATTTGCTAATTGACTTTCTAATTGTTTGGTAAACATCCAGCAGGTCTATTCTGGAGTCTAAACTCAATGTCGATTGCAATAAAATCCATTTTTGTACTTTTCTTTTGAAATGTCACAATACAAACAAATCTATAAAAATGCCAGTTCTTCCACTGAATATGGAATTAATACGTTGCTAGTGTATAATGCCTCAATCCAATGAAATGATATCGGAATTACTATTTTGAAAATACCTATGAAATGTGTAAAGTTTGGTCCGGTTTCTATTCTCTTAGTAATATTTCTCAGTTTATATGTTGGAACACAACGTTGACGTATACCCATCAAAATATATAATTATTTTCGTCATAATTTTCATGTCTTATATTTTATAATTATACGAGTGATTTAATGCCAAATTATTTGTTGCTCTACTTTATTTTTACACATCCATTATGTTTAATTACTTGTAAGAAATATTGCATTTAATTATATTAACAAAATATACTTATTAATAATTACAAAAAAACCATTTTACATTTAAAGCATAATATACTACAGCTGAGTTATAGGCTTCCTCTAATCGTTAGTGTTTATTTAAAATGTATTTCTTTGTACTTACTAGATATTAGAGAATCGTTAAAATTATGCCTTAAATATTGTTGTTGCTGATAAAATATGTTATCTGATATGTCAATAAAAGACTATAATAAAGAAAAATTAACAGTATTTTTATGTCCCCATACCGGCTTTTCATTTTACGTTAATTTAGGATAAAGAAATTTTAATATTTTGGTTTCACTTCGTCTAATGAGTCGATTGGACCTAAGCAATACGACTAAAGACGTCATAATTTTCTGTTTAATTCACTTATTTCGATGCTATTGAATCGAAAAGAGAAAATAAAATTTTAAAATTTGAAGAATGTTTCTAATACATTATTTTATTTTATCATTATTCGTTACAGCATAAAAGAAGCTAGAAATATAAACAGTAGGAGTAGTTTAACTCTTTTTATAGCTTAAAATTACAATAATAATTTTACTAATTTTGAAGACTTTGTGAAAAGTCGTCCACATCACGTATTTCCGCGAAAAGTAGCTTGCTTTGTAAGCTGTGTTTTAGTTAAATGGTAAGATATAGCAGTACAGGGACTATTGAGTATGGAGCTATGATTCAAGACATTGTGTGTGTGAGGCAATGTATTTTAAATGAGGCTGATTAGTGTTCATGTCTATAAGCCCACTTTCCATCAGGTGGGCATTCATTTAAAGCTGTAACAATAAGAAAAAGTACATTCAATTCATTAGATATACTTAGCAATTTGTTATTCTGTTACGACACCGAAGAAGTATTATAAAGAATAGAGTATCAGCAATGACATAGATCTTTGAGTCGAGTCTTTGGATCCTCCTTGTATCGATTAAATTTAATATTATTACAAATAATAAATAATATTACGAGTAAATCTAAACCACATTTCATTGTTCGTTAGACATGACCTTCATTCATTTTCTGATTGACTCTCCGGCGATGGAATCAATGATTTCATCCATAACAATGCTTCTGTCGACCTCATCTGAGTTGATAATAGTGACGGTATATCGTTATATATTATCAGTGTCTGCTAGTATGTATACGTGAGTGACATTTTCGATAAAAATCTATTGGATGCGAGCGGGGAGTGCCTATCGCTCAGTGATGTCATTACCGAAGCCCCCGGGCTCAGCGGCGCTGTACTGGAATCTAAGAAACCATTTCTGTGGAGGTCTCTCTAAAGGATACGATATCTTTTATACGTAACGAATAAAGCAGACAAGCTACTTTTCTTTTTTTGTACAATGGTAATGGAAAACAAACTGACGGCCCACCGGACAAAATATTATTTTTAAAAATAATTTTCTAATCTTTTGAGTTCATTAAAATTGAAAACAATATAATAAGTATACATTTTCTCGTAAGTGTTTATTCATGTGTCCTACATTTTAAATATTTATGCAATATTTTTTTATATTATATATTTGACCCTTTTACAGACAAGTATGTTGATATTTATTCTAGAGGTATTACAATTCGTAGCTCGTTGTAAACGTAGCAGTCAATACAAAGAGCTTGTAAGTAGATTTGCGAGCCGCAAACGACGCGCAGAGACCTTCCAGCCACTCTCATTCAATTACTACATAGCATAGCTTATTCTATATGGAGCTCACGCAGTATCATTGAGAACTCTTTTCTTATAAGCAAGTGTTATTTTTATTTTAATGTTGGTAGTACAACACATTTTTTTATACGATTAGGTAAGATGATGGAATACTGCACTAAGTTCAGCATATCACGAGGCAATAATTTTGGTGACTTGGCCAGATTTCAGGTATACTGTCTAGTCAGCCTCTACGCGGTCGCTAGTGCAAAACAATGGTGGTCAAGACTTAGCTTATTTACGACTACTGTCAAACTTCACAGGTGCTCCGCCAATACAGTACAATAGTACCTATACCTTCATCACAAACAAGCTCAACAAAATCCCTTAAAAAAAATTAAAACGGCGTGCATATCTGGTGATAATATCGTGT